ACAATATTTAATTAAATTTTTTTCGTATATAAATTTGATTTTTCTGCATGAATACGTATAATATGAAAAAAATGCATAGGGTAAAAGTGTAAAAAAATTATAAATTTAAGGGTAAAAACGTAAAAAAAACTGTAAACTTAAGGGTTTTTTACGAAGTTATTATGATGGTAATCTGTTATCACCGGTAAAAGGGTAAAACCGAACATTTTTTGGAAAATGTTAGGGTAAAAACGGACATAAAATTCAACTTTGGGCAAAACCGACAAAACCCTTAAAACTTGAGGGTTTTATGACATTAGCCCTTCAAACATATTTAGAAAGGACAATTTTAGTGAAGATTGTTTTTTTTCACCAGTTTAGTCATAGATATTTATGAATTTATGTCAATTAAGTTTCTTGGTTGCAAAAACCCCTTGGCTATCACAATGTATTGTTTTGTCGTTTTTGCTAATTGCATGCTAGCCATTAATAAAATAAAGTTGTTCAAAAAAACAAAACACCTAATAATCGGTTTTGCTGTCTTTGTGGAATTTATTTTGAAGTTTTGAATATCTCTTTAAGAAGTGTTATGCATACTAATCAAATGTTATAATTGCATTTCTGTGTATTCCACGTCCCTTTCATTCAAGATAAAAGTCTCATCCATTGGATTACCCGATTTACTGAATCAAATAACAAAAACCGATTACACTGTACATTGTTTAGTACAGTTACAACTAGAGGTGTTGATTGTGTATAACTTTTGGGTTTCAAGTAGTTCCGGATTAAACCAACTGAATAGCATTCAATCTATTAATACTCAATCAGTTAAAAAAACCCGACTTACATTGATATGAATAGTCCATTTCGCTAGTGGACTCGATAGGACTCAAGCCCGATGGCAGCATTAAACAGCTAAGATATCAAGGTTGTTGACCAATTTCAATCACCAAAATAGAAGACCATTAATCACCTCATTTTTTAAGTATCATGCAACTTGTTCTCACTACCAAACTCTTCACACAAAATCACACACCTGTCGCCCTACACCAACAATGCACTCAGACTTCCTCCCTTCAACGGATCATTACTGTACATATACAACACCTTCACGCCTTCACACACAATTCATCTTTTCCCTTTCTCTCCATCCTTCTCGTTAATTACCCCAAGAGTTAATTTCCTATTAAACTTAGTTTAAGTTTTCATCAAAAACGCCATTGTTAAACTCATGAAGGAGTAATTAACGATAATTAGGTTTTTAGGGAGTGTAGAGTTTTTGTATTTCATCAAAGTTGTTTAGGGGAAGGAATGGGGAGAATGGGTGTTGTTTTCTGGTGTCTTCTTTTCTTTGCGACTGTTTGGTTAGGGCTTGATTTTCATGTAGCTGTTGAAGGAACTGGATTGGGGAGTATGTGGAGTAACCGGACTAACACTACGGCCACCGGGTATGACGGACCTGGAAATGGCGGTGCAGGAGGAGGTGGTGGTGGTGGAGGGGGAGGGGGGGCGTCTGGCGGAGGGGCAGGATATGGGAATGGCGGAGGGAGAGGATATGGATCGAGAGCCAGAGGTGGTGGTGCATATGGGAATGGAGGAAGAGGTGGTCGTAGTTCTGGCGGTGGTAATATGGACCGAGGTGGTGGTAATATGGGTGGAGGTGGTCATCATGGTGGTGGTGGGATGGGCCAAGGTGGGGGCAATGGTGGTGGCAGAGGTGGTGTAGGTGGTTACGGTGCTGGATATGGCAATGTTGGCGGAGGTGGAGGTGGTGGTTTTGGCTCAGGACCTGGCAACTGGGGTGGATTTGGTACCGGAGGATTCCCTTTTAGAGGTGGTAGCGGCGGTTCCATGGGTGGTGGTGGCTATGGTTCAAGAGGAGGTTATAGTGGTGGTGTTGGTGGATATGGTTCAAGAACGTCTCCAGGCTCTGGTTATGGAAATTTTGGAGGTTCAGGTGGCGGCGGCGGCAGCTTTGCTGGCGGCGACATCGGTTCAGATGATGGAGGAAATGGATTTGGCGGGGGTCCTCACAAAACTCCTGACAAGAACTAAAGATGAAAGTGTCACTTAGAATAAGCATGGTTTTTGACCATTAATCGTGTACTTCAATTTTATGCCTGTGTACTTCAATTTTATGCCTTTGTAAACGTATTTCCTTAATGTCATTTAAATTAATCTATACAAATAATTAACTTCATATACAGCAATATTCAAACAATTTATTAAATCAAACACACCAATGCTAAAATAATAAATATATACTATAATTACATAAGCATAAATTAGCCTTCATTTCTCGTAGTGGAAGAAATGTCAACCGCAATAATTAGCCTGACATATAAAAGGCAGAGTCAAAACAAAACAAAACAGTAACAATAATGGAAACAGTATTTCACGGTATCCGAAACTCAAAAACAAGTACCTTATTATATGAAATCTCAAACTCCAATTAGCTCATCGGCATCAATACAGGACTTTATTCCACTTTTCCTGCACCAATTATACTATCAAATGGGAGGTCTAATAGCTAATAATATTAACAAAGGTACGGGTCGGGTCGGTTTGTATGCAAGTTAGTAAATACATAAAAAAAAGTCATGGCCAACCTTTACTTTTGAGAAGTGAGTAGGGTTGAGGTTGTACTTGAGCTAGATAAATCTGCTCCCTGCCAAAAGTACAACCCCAATTAAATTAAAGAACCAATGTGTCCAATGCATATTTGTATGCATTGAGCACATTGTGTATGTTAATATTAACATACATTGAGCACATTGTGTATGTATGTTAATATTAACATATTAACATGCATCGAGCACATTGTGTATGTTAATTAACATACATTGAGCACATTGTATATGTGTGTTAATATTATCATACATGTTAATATTAACATGCATCGAGCACATTGTGTATGTTAATATTAACATATTAACATGCATCGAGCACATTGTGTATGTTAATATTAACATATAGGTACGTATGAGGAGTTACAAGATAACACTTACAAGAGAATGAATCCCTTGTGACCATTCAGGAACTTTCTCTGAAAGAAGAGTGATATACTGCTCCATAGCCACATCCGGATCCATATTCCCGAGCTTTTGCCACGCATTCCTTGCATAGTAACGCCCTCCATCACTCATATCTTAATCACCAATCAAAACTATAAGGTCCTAAGATGCTTTTTCATCTTCTTAACTAATCCATTTTTTTTTCCATAACTAATGTGTCTGCAATATGGTTATTATGTCGGTTTTGCTTCACTAATGTGTTGACAACAACTAATCCTAAGTGGTCATAACCTACATTATGTCTCTATCTTTGTCAATTTATGTTGCAACCACAAGATATCATAAAGGCTAAAGCCATATCTAATCATCAATAGATCCACCAAGATAGTTTTCACAATTCTGTTAAATAGTTGTTTTCTAGATAATGAACTTAAAAAAAATAATGATATAACATATTTCATTAAGCAAAAATGGATTAAAAAAATGCAGAGGAAAGTTGAGTAATACCATTTGGAACGTGCGGAGAGCTTTAAAGCAATGGGCTGAGCTTCATGACAGGGGCCTTCAGTAGCAACCTTATAAAGTCCGTACAATTGCATCTGGATGTCACTTCCTAAACTCTGTAGATGATCATCTTGTTTACCATAATCTGCAGCCATGGCAAACACCTTCTCCAAATCACTCCTTTCAATTCCCTCCCAATCATCATCGGAATCTGAAGAATCATCTTCCTCGGAAATCAGACCTTCATTCTCCTTCTCGGATTCATCAATACCATCATCACAAAACAATTTCAATTTCATACACATCTGATGCTTGTTATCAATAGCTCCACTTTGTTCAGGAATCATTACCCCTTTTAGCTTCTGATCAATTAATTCGGTATTTCCCTCTTTGGTTTGATCGTCATCGACAACACTATGAATCACAGATTCCGCTTTGGGCTTATAATCATCATAATCAGCCTTTTCAACACCGCCAAACTCTTCCTCCGGTGACTTCACCACCGATTCGACGGCACTCAAGCTTTCGTCGTCGTTCTTTTCCATACCATCATCACACAGCAGCTTCGCGCCAATAACTGCATTTTCGTGAGGAACCATTGTGGCTTGGCTTGATTTCTGATCAATCGAATCAGTATTTCCCTCTTTTGTTTTATCGTGTTCAACAACACTAGGGCTAACAGATTCCGCCATTGACTTACAATCATCGAATTCAGCTTTTTCAACATCGCCAAACTCTTCCTCCGGTGACTGCACCACCGATCCGACGTCATTGAAGCGTATCATCTCTGCATCATGTTTACTCTCAAACACTACCTGTTTAGTTTCCGATGGTCCGGCGACGACTTTATTAACTAAACTTCCTTCATGATCGACGGCAAATCGGACTTTCTTCAAACTTTTCCTTTTACTAATACTTTTCTCCATCTTTGGATTAAGCTCCTCCGCCAAAACCTTACTGAAATCACGGATCCTACTACGTCGATGATCATATTCATCGCCATTGGTCGCTGAAGATGCGATCTTTGCAATCAGGACAAAGAACACAAAAGCTGCAATAACCGTTATGAAAATCTGATGTAGCGTCTCCATTGGTTGAAGAAGAAAACTAAAAGTAAAGTAATAATACGAGTAATTTATGGGATTTTATACGAGAGACGAAGCTTGAGGATGAAGATGAAAGATTTTGATTTTGGTTGTCAGAGATGAGAGCAAAGCATATTCGCTTTTTTCTTTATGGTGGGGAGTTATGAAAGCAGCCACTTTTGCCCATTTTGTTGTGGGGCCAAAAGGTGTTTGCGGGTCACAAGGTTTTCGTAATGCGTGTGCCGCCAGCCTTTGGATTCTATGTTATTTTTCCATAAGATTGACTTTAACCTAGTCAACTAAATATGCAGTGGATTTAAAAGAAAATTACAAATTTGGTGTTTATCTCTTTTCGATTTTTATCTCTTTTCTTTTACCACATAGTTAAAAGGGTTTTATAAAATCTAATTAAAATTTTTTTTTTTTATAAAGTTTTAAATATTTTTTTAAACAAAACAATCATATTATTTTGGAAAATTCACATAATCTATTATTTCTTGTTAAAATTAAAAAAAAAAACTTTTTCGTAGAAAATATTAAATAATTGAGATTTTTCTATTAAAAAAATTAGGACTATCAAAAAAATTTCTAATATAATGAGACTTTTTGCATAAAACTCACAACTAATCAACAATATAGCTGCTAAAAGTAAATATAGATACGAAGAAAATTGTAAAAATTTGCTCCAAAAAGTCTCACAACAAAACATAGAGAGTGTTTGTGATGTTAATTTTCAACGTGGTTTACATTATTTGAACGATAAGGCTTAACATGGTAGATTACATCTTCATAAATTTTGAGATGGCTATTGCCATTTGGTGTAAAATTGGTTTTTTTTAACGACGTATATATTAATAACAGAAACTAGCAAGAAATTAGAACAAATTACAAATTACAAGCAAAAATCGGAGAAACAGACCAATCTGACCAATAACTGTTTCTAAACATCGATCTATTCTAAAACCAATTAAAAGATAACAACTGAAATTCATCTACCGCCTTAAGAGAGGAACTTATCTTATTGCTAAAGACTAAAGCATTGCGAGCTTTCCAAATAGCCCACACCACCGAGTATAAAAGCGTCACCTCCAGTTTTTTTTCCTCTTTTTACTTCCCATTGGAGTCTTCAATATAGAAATCAAGTCCTCAATACAAGCTGGAGCAGAAACAAACAGGCCACTCCATACACCAAACCAATTCCAAATATGTGTAGAAAAAGAGCAATTAAAAAATACATGCTCTATGGACTCCATTTCACAACCACGCCATTTGCAAGACAACTCATTAATCACAACCCCTCTTAGTAATAAATTATAAGCAACCGCGATCTTGTTACAAAGTAACCTCCGAACGAAACAATTAACTTTGATATTGACCCAACTCACTCATTGAAAGTCAACCATGTTGCCATTTGCACCGAGATTTAACGTCATCAAACCTCTAAGAGATGAAACCGAGAACATCCCCGGAGAACTACCCTTCCACACCCACATATCTTCAAAAACAGACAGATGAAACCGACAACCTCTTTCAATCTGTAAGCAAAACAGGTCCATCTCTACCCTCCAACCTGTCCGAAAACCTTGCAATTTTTATTTGACTCAATTCTGTATAACTTCGGAAAAGTATCTTTTAAAGTTATATCTCCGTACCATTTGTCCTTCCAGAAATGAGTTCGATTTCCAGCCCTAATTTCCTGCAAAAAAGATCATCAAGACAAATATTCCACTCCAACTCCTAAGTGTTACGATATATCGTAAGCAACGTCCCGAGAATACCACATTTAGCAAAAGGTTTCCCATCAATACAATTGATGTTGTGAATAGCTCTAATACAAGAGGACCAAAGAGTATTATATGTCACTTTTAACCTCCACAACCATTTCGCAAGAAGCGCAAGATTCATTGATCTAAGACACCCCACTCCAAATCCTCCCAAGTTCTTGGGTTTAGTAACCACATCCCAAGCCACTCATTGAATTTTCCTTCTATCCTCATTACCTCCCCACAAAAACCTCCTTCGAATACCTTCTAGCAACTCAATAATCTTCCTTGGAGCTTTAGAATTTGAGAAATAATACAAGGGAAAACTACTTAAAACAGATTTCACAAAAGTGAGTCTTCCTCCGAATCAGAGAGATCTAGCCTTCCATAAAGATAGCTTTGCTTTAAATTTTTCCACAAGGGGATTCCAAATCCTAGTAAGCTTCATATTAGCCCCGATAGGAAGACCAAGATAGGGGTAATTGGTGGGAATTTGGCATTCCTAGTTTTACTACAATCTTGGAGTGAATCATATATGGGCGTACAAAGTAAAACTTAATGTGGTTCAAAGGAAGCGTGTTGATGCGGTTGTTTTATTACCATATTTTGGTTCATATGAAGTTATTGTAATAACTTCGTGTTTGGAACAGTTGAGATGAAGAAAGATGTTTTTTTTACTAAATAGTTACTCAATCATTTTTGAATTTGTAATAAAAGGATAAGATATATAATGAATGAGGTTGGTTGGATGTAGATTCGTTCTTTAACTATTTCTAGTTTGTAATGTTATGGTTTTATCTAGCATCTTGTTATTTTGACACTAAACTATAGTACTGCCAGAAACAAGTTCTACCAAGTTTTACACAAAGTCTTTACAAATGGCGATCGACATTACTTAATTCTAACCTTAACAAATATATACTTCAACAATTTGCAAGGTTCTAAAAAGTTCGTCATGACGCGTCATGGCTCCAAGGCTTGTACTTGCCGCCAAACTTTAACAAAATGTCGACTTAAGTCATATATGCATATAAAAATAAATAATAGTAGAAAATTTATATATAATTATTAATTATATACAAAGTTGCAGACTTAAGTTATGTCTTACAAACGATGTGGCTCGTCATGACTCGAAAAAGTTTGAAGTTTGATATTGTTACCAAGTCACGTCCAACGTTATTTAGAACCTTGACATTTTGTAACTAAAGTCAAACATGCAACAAAAAAGACAACATATCAATATTGATTGTTTTCTTTCATTCTTGTCGTTACCTTGACATAGATTAATAAGTACTTTATATATTTGGATATATTTGGAAGGATTGAAGACCAAATGAATGAACTCTCCCAAGATTATAATCTCCTTTGTTATTCTTAGAGTATGTTAGGCATTGAAATAAGCAACATATTATCCTTAGTCTTTGACATATGTACGTGTTGTGGTGTTGAAGAAGTAAGCAACATATTATCCTTACTCTCCCAAATGAATGCTCCCAATATATTATTTTTAGAGAAAATTACAAAACTAGTCTAATTTCATAATTACTTTGTGGAAAATAACCAAAAAAAACCCAAATTACAAAAATAACCACCAAAATCGCAGATGGACTCAGTCCATCTGCGATTTTACTAGTCCATCTATGATTTTGCATCCATCTGTGATTTAACGTACAAGTCGCTAAAGCACAGATTTTGCATCCAGATGTACGTTCGCAGATGTACGTTCGCAGATGGACTCAGATGGACTTCTTTCATTTTTCAAACTTTTTTTTTTGAGAACTCTCTCTAAAGACACTATGGACGATTTTATTTTTCAAAGTTTTTGTTGAAGAATTCATTTTATTAGAGATGTTTTAAATAAATGTTTCAAAAAAATAAGAACTAAATTTATAATTTTTTGTAATACTTTATATATAATAAGGTTGTTTCGTAGTTAAACCCTATCAATTTTGTAGTCAAAATTAAATAAAATAAAATAAAAATTGAAAAGAAAAACGCAAAATCGCATGTGGGATGAGAGGAAATCACAGATGAAATTAGTCCATCTGCGATTTCAGTCAAAGATTGGGGTATTTATACGGAAAAAAAAACTAAAAAAAAAACACCTGCGAACGTATAAGTCGCTAAAGAACGACTGTGCTTTAGCAACTTGTACGTTCGCAGATGGAATGCTAAAATCGCAGATGGGCTTAATCCATCTGCGATTTTCATGGCTATATTTGTAATTTGAGTTTTTTTTTAGCTATTTTACACAATGTAATTAAAGAATTTGGTTAAATTTGCAATTTTCTCTTATTTTTAATATTATCTTTGACCTTTTGGTTTGTATTATCTCGACTATACTTTTTCAATCTTATACCTTTTGGTTTGTATTATCTTGACTTTGACTCGAGTATATATCTGATAATTATTTTTTGATGTTTTTCTTTCATTCCCTCCTTCGGCCACCGCTTCGTATCCATCTCTTGATGATGTTTATATTGTACCATTCCCATACCAATCATTTTGATGTTAATAGAATAGGTTTTATTATAGTTTAGTATTTGGTTGTTATGCTCAAACTTTTGATAATGTATTATCCATTTTAATGTTTCATTTTGATATTAATAGTTGAAATTTATTAGAAAAAGAAAAAGCTATTACTGTACATTGTATCATTTTGTTTAAAAACAATTATCAGACTATCATGTTGGAGGGTCATGTATTGTATCGTCCGTTAACTCGTTAGAACATAGATGATGTTCGTCGGTTTGTTGAGCCCTTCCACTTGCCCACTTCTAGCCAGATTATTTTCGTCTATCCAACTCGGTCTTATATGAGGCTTACATTGTTACCAACAAATGTTTTTTCAACAATGAACATTTATTAAATTATTAAGGTCTTAGAAAAGACATTATTAAAAAAATTTAGCAAGGACAAAATTTCGTAATAAACCAACCCAATTAATATTACCAACAAATACTTACCATGGGTGAACATTATCGCTGATTGGTTCTCAAATAGATATAGCAAATGTATATATAACTCGGTCATTGTGGTTACAAAATCCAATGATCTGAATCTTTGTTTTTTTGCTTTTTCTCTATATTCTTGTTAGTTTAGTGATTTAATATATTTGAGCCGTTCAAAAAAAAAACTTACCATGGATGAACATGTCATATATATCTTTATTATTATTATTATTATTATTATTATATTACATTCTAAAACAATCATTAGAATAACACATCCCGTTATAGTAACTTTGGTCAAAATTATGCAAAAACGTTTTATCTAAACATTATATATGATATTTTATTTTTAATATGGTTTATAGAAAATTAAGGAGAACCGGGGCGTGCTTTCTTGTACGAGTTGGAATAGATATGATTGGATAAGCTCGAA